CTTGGTGGATCTTTTTTCGGGCTTACCGGAAAAAAAAGGCACGCGAATTAGACAATTGCAATTTCACCAACTTGCGACCCAATCGCAACTACACACGAGTAACTCAAGAGTCTGCGTTTCTATCACAGACATTCCACAACGGCTTCGTGTGGTCCTGTCGCATTGCTGTACGAATTGTTGTGATCGTGCGTCGCCATTTCTCCGTAGTGGCTATGTGACTCTTGACGTGACGCTTGTGAAGGTTTGTGTGGCACGCGAGGCATTCATTGTAAACAGTATGACCGTGCGGGCAGAGTAAATATGACTCTCGCAAACCCAGATACAATGGCGCATTTGAGTGCTACATTAAACAAAAAGTTACGCACCTTGCCGCTCATTGACGGATACTCAATTAAGCACGCACGCTCCCACTGAATCTTGCCAATGCAGTTCAGCAATTTTTTTCCTTATACACGTCAACCACCATGCGATTGGTTGTTGGCGGAAATGGGGGACCTGGGTGTCGCAACATACACCAGACGAGGAAACACTCAAACACTCATCACCCCCGTGCTCCCCTTGCGTGCCTGCATATGTGACAATCGTCTGCTCTATGCCCCACGCCTTTGCCTCATCCCTGTTTCTGCTCAACCAATGTTTAGTGCTCGAAGCCTGTCTGTCAGGTTCCTAAAGGTATAACAACTCGCCACCTCAGAATACTACATGAATGGAAAGCTAGACATCGTAATGGGTAGTCAGACAATGAAGGGGCCCGATGGGGCGATCGTACTGGCTGATTTGTCTAAATCGCCTGACGAAAAAAAATATGCCGAGTTAGTAACAGCAGATAAGACCGCCGAGATCGTAAACGAGTATCGCAAAAATAATGCGTCGTCGGCGCGAGAAGTAGTCGAGTGTGGACGTGACTCTTCATTCGGTGACGAATCGAACAGCGACTGCAATGTCGAGCCATACGCCAACAAGGGCGTATCATCCCCTCCGAAACCAGGGATAAGCGTGTGAAGCGCTTAGATGATCTTGTTCCCATGGCCGGCCTAAAAGGTACGTGATTATGGTATGAGATGCTGATTATTCGACGGGTATAATGTTGTCTCACAGCTAGATGCATTAAACGATGCTTGCAGTCGTGTCTGATTTTTAGCCTATACTGTCTCTCAAATTGTGTTTTCACAACAGTGTCAGCCGACAAGCGTGACAACCGGGGGGGGGGGGGGGGGGGCGTAAGCACCGTCCAAGAAAAAGAGGCACTCGTCCACATCGTGAGGAAACTACTGCGTCTGAAGGCGACGAGGAGGACAAGGACAGGGGACCTGTCAGCTTAGGTTCGCTGTGGGTGTGATCTTGACAGTTCATAATATTCACGTTACACATTACAACGTCATTGTGGGCATGCGAGGAAGCAGTGGACGCAGAGGCACGCTCGGCCTAGAGCACGAGAGTTCGGGTGGAATGGGAGACATAGTGTACGGAAGCATGAGAAGCAGGTTGTAGGATGATGCATATCAACCTAACGAGCGGTATGTTTGACTAGTCAAGGTGGGATTAGGACGTTGTTTTATGTGCATGTTTAGGTGTGAATAATATGCTTTTACCTAAGCTTTTGTTTTGTGTATTTTGAATGCAAGGATAAGGCAACTAAACATATTTTTAAACAACATGTAATGTCTTGCAAGTCTCTAATCTAAGCTTGTTATAATGAAACTCAAAGTCCATAAAGAGATTATTGCAATGATATCCGATCTCCGAAATTGCTCTGCAAAAACTCGAACCAAACTTCTGCTGAAGGTTTTCACCTGGTAGGTTTGAACAGAGAAGCATTGCAAAAGCATTTGAAAAGCGTTCAACAAAGCATTTGAAAAGCGCCCTATACTTTCTCAAAAAATCGTTCGAAACACTACGTTTATAAATCATTCGACAAAGCTCCAAAGCAAATCTTTTCATCGGCTTTCCGGACGCAGGATTTTTGTGATGTGGGGGGCACGCTGGGGTCCAGCAGAAGGGGGAAGGCGGAGAGGGAGAGGGGGATGGGCGGGGAGGCGGCGACAAAGGGTGGCGGGCAGCAATAAGGCAGGGGGAGCAGAGCGCAGGAGGAGAAAGGATGGCATGAGGACGGGTGAGGGGGTGGTGTGGGCCAGCAAATGGGTCGTGCGCCCAGCTGTTCCTCCTCCAACGTGTGGTGTGGTGAGAGCACGCACGCCCTCTATTCGCGGTGGTGCAGTACAGTGTGGTATGGTGAGGTGTGATGCGGTGCAGTGTGGTGTGATGTTTGTGGCGTCACCACTTCCCCTCTCTCCCTCATCATCTCGTTCTCGCCTTACATTTCATTCAACCACGCTTTTTCGAGTCGATTCAAAAAGCTCATCTTTCACTCAACCACGCCATAGGCCTGGCATGGCATGTCATGCGTGTTCATGGGGGTCAGCCCTGTTATGTGATGCTATCATCTGCATTCAGGTCTGTCTGCCTCCCATCATATGTTCGTGCGTTGCATGCGTGGTGTGAGTGTGTGCAAGAAATTTCTGTTTTCTGTGGTTTGGATTCTCTGAGTGTGTGTGAATGTTATTTGGCTTGAGCAGATATCTGAAGTGACTCCCCTGCTCAAGAGCTTTCTGACGAACCAAGTATCGCTTCAATCGGAGCACGAACAAGAAAGTTACGAACATTTGAAGTTCGTATGCTTTTGATATTTGGTTGTGGTGACTATGGGAAGTTGTGAGGTTGACTCCATAAGGGGTATAGACTTTTGGGGGCTGGGAAATTCGTCAACATCACTGTAGATGCTGCCAAGTGGTTGGGAGAAACCAAATTGGGTTGGCTAGTGTGGCCAACTTGGGTGAGGTGGATTGTGGAGGTTGGGAAAGTGACAAAAGTGAAAGTGGGGTTGCCTATGGAGAGGGGAATTGTGTGGTATGGAGTTTCCTTGGTTGGGGACTCCTTGGGGACCTTCCCTCTCGTTCTCCTCTCCCCTCCCACCTGGTTAATTGCTACTCTAACTTCCTTGTGTGGTAATTGTGAGAACTCTTGTTATTGAGTTAAGATTCTATGGCAGCTTACCCCCTAGTGCGCCAAAATACATAACTCAAAATATACTTCACATTGCGGTACGATTCAACTTGGGAATTGTAGCTACGGTCTAGGGCTACATCATATCCGAAATTGGTGGAGTTTGAACGGTGCGTTTTTTTGTGGACAATGTTTCTTGTGAGCGCGACTATTCTGTCCAGAAATTTAGACCAACGATTTTGTTATATTTCGGCCTCTAAGGTTCCTAGACTCCGTCCTTAGTCTCTAACAAGCCCATCCCACAGGTCACAAGTCACCGGACTTGTTAAGATGAGAGATGATTTTGTTCATCACAGGTCACCCACACGCTCTCCTACAGCGCATGACTGGCGGCTTTTCCATGGATATTCCTTAGAGTACATGGATGAATAATGTGTTTCGACGTACGGGTCTACCATTCCAGGTTCTGATTCGGGTCAACCATTCCATCCGTCACGCCTGGGCCCAAGGCTGGCACACGTGGGCCTTGTCTGTCCCATTCCCAGCCTTTTGATGATTCCATCTGGAAGCTCGCTTGTTGCAGACTCTGTGTTGCTTCTGCGGGGGCGTTGATTTGACTCGTGGAGACGTGCGTCAACTGTGTCCACCTTCCCTGCTTCTGTTCGCCCCCGTAAATGAGTCGAGAACTATCCTTGCTGGGCGAGAATGTGTTTGTGGGGTGCCATGGCAAGTTGTGCGTTTGACATGATGCTTCTGTGGCATCGAAACCCCCGCCGGCAGGCGTCCTAATTCAGATTGAAATATGAGCCAACTGCACAGAATGCGCGCTGGGCCTAGCCTGGGGCTGGTCGATCACGGGCCAATCTGGGCGGGGCCTTAGATCAAACACACCCGGCCACATCAATTCCATCTATCCATGCATCCATCCATTCACCCAAGCCGTCGCACTCTCAATCCGCCTTACTCCCCACCCCCCCTTCCTCTGCCTTGTCTTCCTCTTTGGTCCCTTCCACAGGTGCATGTCTCCATGCCCTCTCGCTAGCCCACCAGCACAACACTCCTAACACCCGCATGTCGCGGCACACGTTGCTGACACCCAGGTGGGCGCCTCTGCCTTAATTCCTGTCTGAATATCTCCCTGCCTACCTACCTCCCTGCCTACCTACCTCCCTGCCTACCTTCCTGCCTCCATTCCTGCCTGCCTCCCTGCCTCTTGTGTCTCTTTCTGTTCGCATGACTTGGCCTCCCTATCTCTCTCTCCACACCTGCCCTCAAACCAATGAGTACAAGTGACTGCTCCTTTCCGTGCCTTCCATAGATTCCTGCCCGTGTCCCATGCCCCCACCTTTTCCCCACCTCGTCTCCCACCCCTTTCCACTTGCACATCCAGCTGCTGTGCCTCCTGCCACTCCATCTCCCGCAACCATACCATCATTCCAAACACCCCCCAGCCTTCCTCTCCAGCACCACACCTCCCTGCCTCTGCCCCCTCGGCCATGCTCCCTCCCTGGCACCTCACAGCCCACAACACAGCACGGTACAGCACACCACCTCACAGCGTCCCTAGCCCAGGACACTCTGTGCCCCGGAAGTGCCCTTCTCTCCCCCCACCCACCCCCTCTCTTGCGTGTTTGCTCCCCACCCCACCCCTCTGCCAGGAGATAGCACGGCTGCGGCGGGCAGTGCAGGGGTTGCCTGGAGATTTCGGGGGATAAGAGGGGGGAATCAGAGGGGGGTGGTGGGAGTGGGGGGATGGGGGGGGGGGGGGAGGGAGGGAGGGGAGGGAGAAAGGAGAAAAATAGGTGCAACAGAAGGGAGGAACACGTAGGTGGACTGAGTGAGAGGGCAAGGTTGTGAGGGGACAACAACTGCAAGGAGGGGGAGGAAGGTGTAGGGAGTAGGGTTTGATAGAGCATGAGGCCAGGGAATGGCACAACTCATTCTTGAAGAAGCACAACTGCTCGTACAGAAACAGCCAAGAAGATCACTACGGTCAGATGCAGCTCCCTCCACCCGCCCGTGTTTCCACTCTGCACCTCCACCCGGCCTCCTCTCCATCGTGCATTCCCACCTTGCACACACCTCCTTCCCACCTTATCCGCATGCATTCCCACCACGTGTATTCCCTGGCACTGTTGGGAGTGGGTCGTCACTGGGAGGCCATCGGGGGCTTCAAGGCCGTGCTGCTGCTCTCACCACATCACCACAGCGCACTCGCTCACCTGGTTCGTACCGCTGTGCTGTGCTCTACCAATCCGCCCTGTGCTTCTCCATGCCAGTGCCAGCACTACAACCCTGACACACCCCGCCTCTCCTCTCCCCTCAGACCCAAACCCTCCCCCATTCATCCACATCCCCCTCCCTCCCCACCCACTTCCCCCACCCCCCTCCCTCTCCCCTCCCTCCCCTCCCTCTCCCCTCTCTCCCCTCCCTCTCCCCTCCCTCCCCTCCCTCTCCCCTCCCTCCCCTCCCTCTCCCCTCCCTCCCCTCCCTCTCCCCTCCCTCCCCTCCCTCCCCAGACAAAGCTTCTTTGTCTGCACGCCATGGGCCGATGGGTTAAAACAGTAAGCTCCCCCCCTAACTCTCTCACTTCCCTACCTTGTGGAACCCTTACCAGCCAGCTCGTTGCTGCCCTCTGCTGCCATTCTTGCACTCCCGAATTTGCCCATTCATCTGCCCGCACCCACCACAACCCCTCGCCTTCCCCATTTATTCCTCTGCCCACTCTTGTGTACATTCTTGTGCTGCCATGACATGTACGCAAGTACAATGACCTCTTACACGCCCTGCTCCCCAACTGTCTGCTTGCATGCTCCTCATGTGTGTGCGTGCGCGCATGTGCGAGGGTGCGTGCATGTGTGTGCATGTATGCGTACCGTGCCTGAGCATTCTTTTCTTCATGTGCTTGGGAGGTGGCATTGTACATGGCAGCTGGTCAGCGCAAACCGCGTGCACTTTTTAACGTGAGACCATACCCCCTTGCAAATGCTCACTGCTCATGCCTACTGCTGCTTGCAACGTTACACTTGCTGCATCTTATCCCCCCAATTCCCCTCCTCCCCTCATCCCCTTATCCCCTTTTCCTGGCTTCTTCTCCCTTCTTCCTCCCAGTTCATAACCCCAACCACCTCCTCCGCACCCACCAACCCCCCCATCCCCACACCCCATCTTCCCTTCAACCCCCCAACCTTTCTCCCTATCCCTCCCCCACACCACCACTATGACCACCGCCAACCCCCATGCTGGAAGCATGGAGCAAGCGCTGGCCGCCCTCTGTGCTCTTCCCCAACTACGAGATATGGGCGCTCACATGGTGGCACAAGACGCAGCAGAGGGTGGGAGGGAGCGGTAGTGCTGTCGCCCGCTGTGCTGCAGCTGGTGGGGGCGCCCTCACAGCATATGACTGGCACGGGTTCTTGCCCAACATGCACAAGGAGGGTGCTAGGGGCGAGGGGGTAATGATGGGAGGGAGGTGGTGAAGGAGGTAGGCAGTGAGGGGATGTGAGTAGATGGGCCTTTGAAGCTTGTTCTGTGTCTCCCCATACACACTTGTATTCCTCGTTCCTGTAGTTCTTACATTCCCTTTCATCTATTTCCCTCCCGCTTTCTCCTACCTTAAATGCACGGGGCACCACCACCACCAGTACCGCAAGGCAGGGCTAGCAATGATGGACCTTTGAGACCTGGTGCGGTGCACATGGGGGTTCATGGCGGAGGAGAGAGACAGTGCGGAAGAGAGGGGTGAGAATGAGCAGCAGGAAGAGGGCAAACGGGTTTCAGGAGGAGGACGGGAGAGGAGAGTATAGGAGAGGAAGCAAGGGGAGACGGAGAGGGGGGGTGAGGGGGCACGCGGGCAGAGGGCAGAGGAGGCGGTGACGGGGTGGCGACATTGGGGCTTGAACCAGCTGGGTTCTCAAGGGGGAGACAAGGAGATATGGGGCAGCATCTTTGCCTCGACGCACCTCGCCCGAAGCACCGAGTGCGATGAGCGGGCCGAGGTGGAGGCGCAGAGGGTCGAGGAGGAAGTGACCCCACTTAAGGCATGGGACTAATACCGCGAGTGATCTGATGCTGCAGCAGCAGCATTAGCAGAGGCAAGAGCAACAGCAGCAGACGAGGAGCAAGCAGGAGAACAACTTGTGACGATCCCTTTCCGTCCCACACATGTTCCTGCCTCTCAAATGGGAGAAGTGGGATGCAGCAAGGTGCAGTGGAGTTGCAGGGTAGAGGATCTGCATGGAGCAGGGAGAGTGTGGGCATTCAGGTTCGTGTGTGAGCATGTGCGTGCACTGTCACATGTATCAGCACCACTCAAGGATTTGAGATGGTTTCCTGCACGCTCACTTGCTCGCTTCTGATCCCTCCCTGCCCGCTGTTGCTCCAGTTCTCCCTTCAGTATCATAGGACCCCACACCACCCCTGCTGCTGCCCCCACTGCTGCTGCTCCAACCGCTGCATCTCGATCCCTTGGTTGCATCTTGACCCCTTGGCTGCATTTGCTGACGTCCTAACCGCTCCTGTTGTTGCTGTTGGTGCTGCTGCTGATGCTGCTGCGGCTGCTGCTGCTGCCGCCGCCGCCGCCGCCGCCGCCGCCGCTGCCGCCGCCGCTGCTGCCGCCGCTGCCGCCGCTGCTGCCGCCGCCACCGTCGCTGCTGTCGCTGCGGCCGCGGCTGCCGCTGCTGCTGCCGCCGCCGCCGCCGCCGCTGCTGCTGCACTGCTGCTGCTGCTGCTGCCGCCGCCGCCGCCGGATTTGATAACATCGGTAACAAGAACAACAATGTCATATAGAGCCATGTCATCATTCCTATTCGCTCGTTTGCTATTCTCCGATTATGAAGGTAGGTAGGTACACAACAACTCACAATGACAAGTATGAGAACAGTTTTGCAATGCCCGGTTTAGGGAAGCAGATATTCTGCCCCCATCTCGCTTTAGACACTCAAATATCAGGATTCTGCTACGTATGCAGTCTCTATCAGAGATAGGCAAGCAGAATGAATGAAGTAGGAAGAGATATGGACCATAAAATGGGCTGTACCCTCTAAGAAGCACCTCACTATAGCCTAAGGGTGTGTTCCTACACCCACTTATCAGGCCTACCTCGTATCAGACTTGGTAAGACTCAACAAATTCGTGATAGAACCCAGATTTAATACTTGGATTCATGGCCAACTTTAATAAATTAAAAAAACAAAACCAAAAACAAAACAAAAAAAATTGCAGATGGCTGAAATAAGAACTTCATGAGGCTGGCATTCTGTAGCGTGCGAACGTAGCTCTGTGTTGTCAGGCTCAAATTGAACAGTGTGCAATGAACCCCTCATAGTGCTGCGCGAGGAACCTGTCAGTCATGCAAGGCAATTACATGTCCGACGTTGCTCTAGATGCACCACGTCAACCACGTGCTATCGCCACGCAGCTCGACTTTGCCATAACCACCTGGACCACGCGTGCGCACCCCCGTAGAACATCATTGACCAGGTTACTCGGTCAACCAGAGGAGGTTGTCGATGTTTACAAGTCGGTGTTCAGAAGTCGGCGTCATGTCGACCACCACCGTCGTCGACCCCCGAAACCCAGAGCTGCCCGTCGACTTCCTTTCGTTGGCCGGCATCGAAGCCGGCCTCGATATGGTCCCACAAAAGTTGACAACCAACTTCGTCAACTTCCCACTCGTTGTTGACGCCGACCTACAAGTCCAGCCGACCGTATAGATTACTCATCAGTCAGCGACGTCGACTTTGCCCAAGCGAGGGCGGGGCCAAATCCACGATCAACACTCCCTTGCCCAGCTCGCGCTTGGGCAGAGCGACGTCCACCGCTGACATCACCGCACGAGCTACCTGCAGTCGCCATCGGCCGCAGCACTTGTGGATACATTCCTCGACGCTCACTTGGCAGCCCAAATCACCCCACGGATCAATCTTATGCCTCCACCGTCCATGTGGCTATTGCCGTCTTTGTTGTGCACATGTCGAGGAGAGCAGACGTATTGTCAGCATGAGTTCCTAGGATCATCAACTCCAGGGCGGTGTCGCGGGTGTCTGCGAGGTAGGCGAGGTAGTGGTCGACCTCGTGCCAATGCTGGTCACTCCTCACTATGAGGCTGCTCCCCAGCTTGCTGCAGGTGAAGGCGATGTCTGGCTTTGTCATTGTCGCCACGAACTGTAGCGAGCTGACCTTCTGTTGGTACTCCTCCTCGCGCTCATGCGCCTCCTCATCGTCGAATGTCAGCTCAACGTAGGCGTTGACCAAGACGGCGTCTTCAGGATGAGCCCAGTCCGCTCCTCGTTAATGAAGTGTCTGCGTTGCTTGTTGGCGTAGTTCTACTGGTGCAGCCACAGCTCCCTTGCTGGCCTGTCGCGCACGATCTCCAGCCCGAGGTACTTGACCACTGGCGAGATCTCACGTAGCTCAAAGGCGTCCTCCAGCAGCTCCTTCAGCATCGCGGTGATGCTGCTCGCGGCAAGCAGGTCGTCGACATAGACCAGCACCCAGCAGGTCACTCCGTTGTCGCCGACCTTGAAGTAGAAAGCCTCTTCTTCCAGCCACCGCCCAGCAGCACACGGTCGAGAGCCCTGTACCATAGCAGCAGTGACCGCTTTAGCCCGTAGAGTCTCTTCAGCAGCTTGCACACCCGGCCGGTCCCGTCATCGAAGCAGTCCAGCTGGTACATGAGGAAGATGCTCAGCGTGACGTAGCTGCTCACCGGCGAGTACGTCTCGTCGTAGTTGGCGCCGTACACCTGCGTGAAGCCCTTCATAACCAGCCTTGCCATCTCGCGCTCGACGGTGTCGCCAATGCGGTACTTTGTCGTGAGCACCCACAGGTTCTTCATGATGTTCACCCCGTGTGGGCGTTCGACCAGCTCCCATGTACCCATGCCAATAAGGCTGCTGATCTCCTCTTCTATAGCGGCCTTCACCGCCTTGCCCTCCCAGCTCGCTAGTGCCTCCTTCACCGTCATCGTTGCGATGTCCTAGTAGTGTTTGGGGTCAGCATGCATGTCGTGGTCAAGCTCGGGCAGATGAGTATCCGCCTCTTCATCGTCGAGCAGTGTGGTGAAGGTAGCTCGTGGCCACTATGGTGGCCTCCGAGGTCGACTTGAGCGTCGTAGCTCAAGCTCTAAGAGTTGCAGCTCAAGCTTCTCGATCGGCACTTCCACCACGTTGTTGTCGGTGGCTTCCTCCCCCGCTGACAGCTCCCCTTCCTTGTCAACGTACTCGTCGTCGACCAGCTGCTTTGCCAGCTTTGGACCTTCGACCGGCTCCCCTATCTGCTGCTCCCCTGTTGTTGACGGCTTCACGTCCTTGTTGACGAGTTTGGCGCCTTGTCGGCTGCCAACGATGCCACTGGTCGACGCAACAGGAGGCGACGCCTCAAGGCTCCCCTCATTGCCGGTGGCCGGCACAGGTGTCAATGCAAGCCTATTTGCGACAAGGTTGGGAGGAGCAAGAGCAGGGGGTGGAGGGAGAACTTCGTTGACGTCCTCATCAGCAGGCTTGTCAACCTCGGCGAGCAGCGGGGCCGTCACCGTCGAGGTGTCCGTCGGCGGGTGGACCTGTGTACGCCCTGACGTCAGCCCATACTTTGCCTTCCACACCTCCAGCAACAGCGTCTCGTAGAAGATCACCGCGACCGACGTGACCACCTTGTTGTTAGCCAACTTCAGCACCTTCAAGCCCTTGCTCTCGGGCAACACGCCCAGGTGAAGCCCCCAACAAGCCTTCAGCGCCAGCTTTCCACTGCCCTGCTGCTTGGGAACCATGAACCGCACCATGCAGCCCCACACTTGCGCCAACGTGAGGTTGGGCTTCTTCTCGGTTGGCAGCTGGTACGGAGTCGTCCCCGGCAGCGTCGTTGACCGCTCCAAGTATTTGCGCACCCAGACAGCTTGTCGTAGGGCAAGGTGCCATGGGTGGTGTTGCACGCCCATGTGCAGCAGCATAGTCCGCACGGATTCGACAACCGTGCTCATCTTCCGCTCAGCTATGCCGTTCTGCTGCGGAATGTAGGGGCATGTCAGGTCATGGACGATGCCCTTCCCGTTGACAAAGTTGGTGAACTCCTTCTCGAGGAACTCCCCTCCTCGGCCTCAGCGAAGCATAAGCACCAACTTCTTTATGTGCCGCTCTACCAACACCAGCCACTGCTGAAACTCCTGCAGTACGTCGCTCTTCTTAGCGACCGGCATCACCCACACGAACAGAGTGTGGTGATACTT